CCCCTTGGCCTTTGCCTTTCCCAAACACAAGTCCTCTGGCCTTCCCTCGTTTTCCCACTGTGATTTTAGTATCCTCTCCCATGCTGGTTCCTTATGTCTAAAACAGGCTCCCTTTTCTTTTGTGCCAAACATCTAAACTCTCCTTAATGAAATCTGTCCTTAATCCCATGTATTCTGTGAGGTATCATGCTTGTTTTGTACAACCTGAAAAATGTATTGCACTTTCTCTAACAATTATCCATGTCACGCTGTGTGCCTTTCCCTTTTATTGTCTTTCTGCATCCAAAGATTTAGATTCTGTTTTTCACTTACTTAGGTGATGATTTTGGGGACAACGTGTTCTGTCACTTCAGAAAAGTGTATATTCTATCTAAATTTATTTAAATAATCACTGCACAGAATTAAGCTGCCAGAAATGCAAGAGAACAATCAAATATTTATAAAAATTATTAATAAATCATTTACAGAAACTGCTTTTGACTCCATTTTTACTCAGGGATGGAAGGGAACTCCCTTCTGCTGATCTGTGTGACAAAAAGACAAATGTTATCAACAGGAAAGGGAAGTGGTATAAGCTGGAAGAAGAAATAACATGCTATTTACAGGATGAATTTGTCATGAATGACACTGAAATATGATCTTTCTCCTTGCCTGAATATCTTCTGGGTTCTCTACTCCACACAGTCACTACTGGGTTGTGTTTTTTTTTGAAAATTACGGTTCTGGGAAGAAAATATATCTGATATCCTTTTATAATATATTTTTTTAAGAAAATTAAAACCCAGAGTCACTATAGGAGTATTTAACCATTATAAATCTTTTAGAGAAAAAGAAATGCAATTAAACAGCCCAGACAATTTTCACAGGAAAATTATCAAGTGGTAGCATTACTTTCCAGAACTGAACCACTGTTCTTCTTGTGGTGTGAATGCTTGCTGACCTTTGTATTGCAGGATTCAATGTCAACCATTTAGACATTGCCCCAAGGTATGCCAGCATCTTAATGGGGATTTCTAATGGAGTCGGGACCTTGTCTGGAATGGTTTGCCCTATAATTGTTGGAGCAATGACAAAGAACAAGGTAAATGGCAACATAGTTTTAAAATCTTCCAGTTTAATGCTATTATTTTCAAGAAAAAGATCTTTCCACAGTACAGCTTGTCAGGCTTTCTGCATTAGAGTCTGGGACCTCCAGGGGATAGCATCTAGGAACTTGCAAATTTGAAGCATGCTTCACTATATGCTCACCAGGTCAAAGCTTTTGTAGGCTAATGAATAGTGATTTTTCAAAGAAGGATGGATATAATTGGAAACTTGACGCTTAAACGTTTTAGCTGTGCTATCAGAACCTCAATCCCTAGTTTAAATCTTTCAGCTCAGAAGAGTTAGGTATGCACTAGTCTGAATTAGCAAATTTCTTCTTTACAGACACGTGAAGAGTGGCAGTATGTCTTCCTCATTGCTGCTTTAGTTCATTATGGAGGTGTTATCTTCTATGGCATATTTGCTTCAGGAGAGAAACAACCCTGGGCAGACCCTGAACAGACCAGTGAAGAGAAATGTGGCTTTATTCATGAGGATGAACTTGCTGAAGAGACAGGGGACATTACTCAGAATTACGTAAATTATGGTACCACCAAGTCTTACGGTGCTACAACCCAGATCAATGGTGGCTGGCCTAACGGCTGGGAGAAAAAAGAGGAATTTGTACAAGAGGAAGTACAAGACTCATACAACTACAAGGAAGGAGATTATTCATAACAAACCTAAATATTGGGTATATTTTGTAGTGTTTGTGATTAAATTCATTGTGATTGTTTGCACACAGAAATAAAATGTGGTATAAACATGTAAACACATATCAAACAGGAAGGTCTTACTGTAAAAAAAATACATCAAAGTGCAATCTGTATGAGTTGTGACATGTCATCACTTTCATTAGGTTATATTTGTTCTATAAACATTAGAGTTTTAAGGGTTTACTGGTCAAACTATAGAGGCAATTAGATACTTACAGTATACAAGAGCTAAAACTCATGACTAAGGATTAAAGCACAACTAAGCAACCAAGCTGGCACATCTAATGCTCTTTTTAGAAAGCCAAAATTACTTGATCATTAAAAATGCACTTATATATTTGTTACACTGTATTGAAAGAGATTGTGTTACGTACACACATTTACTCAGTGCAATGTAGGAATTGTGTGCTTAGTCTAAGACAAGAGCTTTCTCAAAGAAGAAAGGTCAAGTCCTAGGCATTTACAGAGGATTGACTGAGTTCCTGTAACGGTAATTGTATCAAGCCTAAAGAACAAATAGGGTGTACTGTATGTTTGTCGTGATTACATGCTGCAGGCTACTCTGTGATGAATAAAGGAATTATTTAGGAGTTTTATACTTAATGTTTGGGCACAAATTCTTATTTCTATTCTTTACAGAATCTTATGAAATTATAGGCATTGCCATGTTCTTCCCTGCATTTACCAACTAAGAGAAAAACAATATATAACTTTAAGTCTGACTTTTCATGCAGACTGACAAATCCCTTTATCAAAATACAAGCTTTACTATTCTATTCTTTGCAGTATATTCCAACTTTGTACCGGTGTCTTTAGAGAGAGAAAAAAAACCAATATAACCTAGAAAAAGATATAGTCTTTTACAAAATTCCAAAGAGAAATTTACTATGAGGAAGTAACCCTATGAAAAAGGATGTATTTCTTTTGCAGAATATTTTGAAACAAATAGAAGAAACAGAGAATAATTTAACCCTAGTTCTTCCCTTGATAGCTTTCATATTTTTACACATCGTGCCACAGTTGTATACATAGATATAAGTTTATTGAAGATACTGTAATTATAGAAAATGTTGCTATTTTAGAAATCCCTGAAGAAAAAAATGTATTTGTTTTTCGATTAAACCTGATAATAATGGACACTGAATATGAGCAACATATAAACTCACAATAAACCAAAGTGGTAAATAACTAGTGTTGGGTTGAAAGAAACCAACAAGCATCATGCTTGTCTTTCTAGCATAACTCAACAGCGACTGCAACATTAGTGTACCAAGCAATAAGTGCGATGCATTATGAAGTGCATAATCTTCTAGAATATATATTAAACTTCATTTAGCTTGTTGTATATATTTGGGGTTGTTGGGATTAAATCAAACTGAACCAACTAAGTTAGCAACACCAGACCACTTCTTAATACTCTAAAATGACAACAATGATCCATTTCTTAATTCAATCAAATGATTATTATTGTATGTAATAATCCATTATGGATTCTTGGTCTGTTCATTGTATTGTGCTAGTGACTGGAAACCCTGCTACCGCAATATACAACTTGAGGATTGTTTCTTCTCCTTCTTTTTTTTAATGCAAATCATACCTTGACCTTAAGAAAAAAGTATTTTGCTTTGTGCCTCAAAGTGATGTAAAATGTGACCATAGCTTCTGCTGTGTTTAATGAAAAAGATGTGGACTGTGTCACTTTTGTTGCTGCAAAAAGTGTTAATAAAATGCTCTATTTATCCTTTTATATAAAAAAGGACCCTTGTAGTTTCTTGTAATTTTTTTTAGATGTGCTTTAATATAGATGACCAAAATTATAGCACGGCAGAACACAGCACTGCTGTGAACACAGAGGTAAAATCTTATGTCCCAGCTGGGAACTATGCTGAATACCCAACGTCCTGCACTCTCTGCTCTCTCTTCTGCCAGTGCAGAAGTGTGTGATACGAGAGGCACCCAACTCCTCTCACCTCATAAGGATGGCTGGAGTAGGTGTGAAATAGGAAGGAGCAGGAGGATCAGCATGCCAGCCAGTGCAGCGAAACTGGGAAAGACTAATCTGTGTCAGATAAAGAGCTGGTGTGGATGACCATTCTCAAAGCAAATGAATAGCATCAGAGACTGCTGTTCTTGGATTTTTTTTCCTTTCTTGCTCCTGCAACAAGATTCCTTAACTGAAACATAATGCTACCTTCTGTCCACCTGTAGATAGACCCTACAGGAATCAGTAAATTCAAGAAATAGTATATTGAAAGTAAGGCTTTTTTCAAACAAAATTCTTACTCTTTGGTAATTTTCTTGCACAGAGTAGAGGAATGTAGAAACACCAAACTGATCAAAAGGCTTCAAATCACTAGAACTATTACAGAACAGTAATGGGCCCAGTGCTCTTTACCAGCAGGCCAGTTGTCATGAGATGCTGAATCAGGTAACACACAAAATTGCTGCTAATTTTTTTACTGGACTGGTGTGATGTTGCCATGGAATCTTCCTGAAAGATTCAAAAGTGGGATAAATAGGGGCTGTAAAGTACTGTTGTATTTATTGTGGTAAGTGAACAGCTCAGAAAATTAAAACTAATTAACAAAACTAAAATCAATTCTTAGTTTTCAGTCTAATATTAGAGGTTGTCTATCTTTTGGAATTGTTTCAATAATTTCTTTTCATTAAATATAAGTAATTTTTTTTTCATTAGGCTGGAACCTTTTAATTACTTAGAACAAGGAGAGCTGTTAATCCAGGCACTAGACACTGCACTGTTCAGCCCTGCACAACTCAGTGGGAACTCAATTGCCTTCAAATGCTCCAGCACTCTAAGATCCACCACATTCTCTTTCTAACTCTCTGCTTCTGCTTTGACTCCTTTACTTCCTCTTCAAGAGGAAGTGTGGAGGAATCCGTTTTTCTAGGAAAGAAGAGGAGCATGATGGGTTTTAAGATCTTTACTTCTTCACAGAGAAATATAAGAAATAACCATCAGGAACATGACTGAGAAAAAGGAAGGGGAAATGGAGAAAATAATTGGGTTCTTGCAAAGGATGATTAAGTGAAGACAAGCAGCAACAGCTAGATCTGCTGCAAGGAAAAGGAGAATAGAGGTGACACGACCCTTTATCTAAACTCCTGTATTCTCAGAAAATACGTTTATGTTTCTCCCTTGCTACTTTGTTTTTATAAATTAGCGTTGCTAAAATACACCTCTTCTGCCCCTTCTGAACTGTGCCCTTGCTGCCCAGAGATTTCTCTTCTGCACTCAGATTCAAAGACTAGCTCTGCAGATGCATTGCACTGGTATGGCACAGTGTTCCTCTTCTGGGACTCTCAGAAGCTCAAATCATTCCCATTTATCAATCAGACTGTGTTCACAGCCACTTGATAGTTTTATCCTGTTACCTATTCCTGTTCTGTTCTCCTATCTGGTACTCGTTGCTCACTTACTATGTTGAAAAAATTAAAAAACAAGGAAAGGAACTGTTACTCACATTTTTATTTATCAGTTATCTTCTCAGTGAAGAACAGTAAGGAAAAGGAAGGGGCAGAATCCAGGCTTCATTAAAATCATTAGAAAAGGTTTGAGTTTAGATGGTCTAGAAAATCACTTCAAATGTTCACCTTTATGTCTTCAAATGATTTCATATATATAGTATCACTCAATCAGCGGCAATTTTTTAAATATTTGAGTCTGCATTGGTAAGATCCCTTCTGTTAACATGTACTCTTTGTTGCAGATATAAAGCTATCACAAAGCGCTCTTTGCTTTCAAAAGTGATCATGAAATTCAATGGACCAAATTTCATAAAAACACTTTTCTATGGGGGAAAAGAAAGCCTCAAGGTAAAGGTTGAATAATGGTGACAAAAGAATATCTGCAAATATGAATGAAGTCCTCTTTCAGCATGAAGCTAGAAATAGGAATGAATGTGGAAGTCAGAATAAATGTCACAGTTCAAAGCCGTACTGTAAGAAAGATAACATCACAGTCTTAGTTGCTGCCTCTGAAAGATGAAATGTTTTGTTCCTTTCAGGATGAGCTGTGCAGGAGTTTGAAGGCTAGTCGAAGTCTACATTAACTACTTAGCAGCATGTGCTTTTATATATCTGCTTTTTTTTTTTAATTTGTCCTTGTTTTTTGCCTGAATAATTTTCAATGCACTGGGAGATTCAAGAGTAAATAATCAAAGGACCCAGAATTACAGTCAGATATTTGAATTAGACATATAGGTATATCCTCTCTGATCCAGCTAATGTGTCTGACGTTGTTATTTGAGATTTTCTTAACACTTTTTCACTCTGTTGTAACCCAAATCATGGTAAAAAGTGAAATGCTCTCCACAAAAAAGATGGTTATTAAAATATTAAAATTAATCCAATTGTGAAACTTCACTTTAAACATAAAATGAATCATATTAAAGTATTAAAGCTAGAGATGGATCAGTTCAGATTGGACGTTAGGAAGAAGTTTTTCACCATAAGGGTGGTGAGACACTGGAACAGGTTGCCCAGAGAGGGGGTGGCAGTTTTTAAGGCCAGGCTGGATGGGGCTCTGAGCAGCCTGAACTAGTGGGGGATGTTCCTGCCCATGGTAGGGGGCTTGGAACTATATGATCTTTAAGGTCCCTTCCAACCCTGACAATTCCATGATTCTGTGATTATTCTAGGTTTGCATATACATACACATACATGCACATAAATTATGTGCATATATGGGTACATAATATACAGATATTTGGAGCAGTAATAGGAGAGAAATGCCAGTGTACACAGAAAGATTTTAGTTCTCTTTTGACCTGATCAAAATCCTAATGTATGTATTTGGAGCAGTAATAGGAGAGAAATGTCAGTGTACACAGAAAGATTTTAGCTCTCTTTTGACCTGATCAAAATCCTAATGTATCCTCAGTAAGTTCAAATAGCACTTACATAAGTCTCCTTTCAAAACTACAACAATCTACAATAAGCATGGACATAAGCAACAGATAACAAAAATTTTAGATCATATATAAGAAGTTTGGTTAATATAATTAAGGTTCATAACATTTCTAGAGGAATGAATAGCTGGATAATATCCCCCAGTTTATGTGATCTCCTTTAATTCAGAATGTACTTTTTCAGATCATCTCTGTTCTCTCTTGTAAAAGATACATGAAAAATATCTTTCCTTGAAGAATGGAATTTCTTTCACTTATTCAAACAGTTGCACTCCTCCTGCTAGGGTTTTCTAGTTTCCTGTGCATCACACTTACTAAAAATCTGAACTGATGAAGTAGGGCAAGCAGAGTAAAAATGATACCAGGAAATGTTGACTTTTCCATGCTATGCAGATAATAGCACATGCACTGTAAAAATGTGACAAGGTCCACACAAACAGTGTCTGGTTTAAATTAGCATTCAAAAGATGCACATGGATGGCTGGATGTCCAAGGTTCCAGAGAAAAAAAATCCTCATATTTTGAAAAATATTTCTGTATGATAGAAGGAGTTGTATCTAGGAAGAATCGAGGTACATGTAGGATAACCCTACTCTCTGATGTGCCTTTCTGTACTCCACCTTTCTGTAGCATCTCGAAATGTCAGGACATAGAAGAGAAAGGCAACTATTACACCAAAAACAGATTTAAAAAAAATAAATAGCAAAAATGATGCTCAAAACCAGAAAATTAACTAGACAAGAAAGCATTAAAAAAAATAAAGGGTCGCATTGTTAAAATTGGAAGATTGCCATTTAATTAGTTTGTCTTGTATAATCAATTAAATGTGTCAACACTGGATAATTGCCATAGAAGGCCATGAACTGAAGAAGTTTGTGAGGAAGACATGATGATTTTCTTCAAGGTAAACATCAGAACAATCAACAGAAATGCTTTCAATTTTAATCTAGAAAGCTGTGATGTTGTTTTC